GAGCATTTTGAGCGCTGCTAAATATGATATACAGTGTCAGAGACACTTATCACTGTGCATAGTTAACAATGTCTTTTCCGGTTTGAGCGCTTCTGGTTTAATTAGTTTCACTTTTTAAAAACGATGAGATTAAAGTTTGAATTGAACCCTTTTATGTTTGAAATCCCGCCTAACGCAACTGACTCTTTTATCGATCTCATTTTTAGTACCCCAATGTATTTATTTATTTATTTAAAATGGCAGGCGTTGTGACAGTTATCATTAGCTCTTTAGTTGACTTGGGGCTCCATAGAAAGGGGGGGGGTGGACATCAAAGTGGGAAAATTCGAGAGGGGGGGGAACAGAAGAGTTAAAGAGACAGAAACAAAGGTAGAAAAAAGGTGAGGTGAGCACTGTTGAAGTAGTAAAATATGGCATAGAGTGGGGTGGTGATAGTTTGAAGGCAGAAGTCAACTGCCGGTTAATAGACTTTTTTGCCGTATGAGTATACGTTGTCCAGGGTGCTTATGTGGAGGTAAGTCTATCGCACACCCCAAAAGTGGGTATCAGCGGTGGGATGACACGCAAAATCGAGAGGACCCCAATGCATTGTTAATCAAGCAAAGACTCCCAAAAGCCAATTTATAATCATTGAAAGAACAAAATTTTAAATTGATTAAATTAATGGAATAAAATAATTACATTAGTAATTATAATAATTCAAAAAGTGTGCAGATATTTTAAGCTTTTAGTATGATTGGGCATTTAACAGCACTATGAACCATTAGGTATTGATTTTCTTTCAGGTAAAAGTTATTGAAGGTCATTACATTACCTGAGAATGCAATATTATTATTTTGGAGAAAAAGTGTACATGTGTGTCCAGATAGCGTTTTTGCGGGAGCTGTATTTTGAATGATTCATTCCTTAATTTGGCAGTCACAATACACATTTCAATGCCAAATGAGTACCATCATTTTTTTGATGAGAAAAACCTTTCTAACTTTCTCTTTTTAGATAAAATACAAATTTTGACGATAGAAGCAGATCAACTGCTGTTTCTCATTACCGATGAATCGAGCATTTGGTACCTTTGTCTTGATGGAAATGAAGTTTCTACAAAGAAGAACGTAAGTTCATGAAACAGAAACCGGGGTTGACGATTAGTAGTAGACAAGCGCAGTCAAGAGTCAGACAGATCACTAAGATCAAAGAACATATCAACGTTTATTTTATATCAGCAGCCAAAACACGAGTTGGGAAAGAAAGGAAAGTGTCAGGGAGAGAGAGAGAGAAAGGTCCTTGTATAGTTTCACGGTGAGGGCTCTTGGAAGCTACTGATCGGGGTAGCTGAATCTAGGCAACATTCATTCAAGGACAGTTTACGTGGGTTCTTCCACTAGCTAACATGAATCTATCGAGGACACACAATGCTTACCACAAATGAGACTTGAGGTTACAATAGAATCAAGCACTTCAAGTGCCACTTTGACCTTGGTAGCAGTCTTATAATTTCATCAGGATCATGGAAGGCCAATCACAACTGGGACTTTGAGAGAGATCGGTGTGGTGAGTGAGATAAAAATTTTGGAATCACATAGACAGTTACCCCTTCAATTGAGAAATTATTTATTTCAAATGGCAGGCGTTTTAATAGTTATCATTAGCCCTCTAGCTAACTTCGGGCTTCACAGGGGGGAAGGAACATCAAAGTAACAGAAAGTCGAGGTTTCAAAGGGGGAAGGAACATCAAAGTAACAGAAAGTCGAGGGGTGGAGAACAAAAGAGTGATTTACAGATGTGAAGAGACAGACATGTAGGCACAAAGGCAGAGAAAACGGTGAATGATTACTGTGGAAGTGGTCGAATATGACATACAGTGGGGTCATGGTAATTTGAAGTGAGATGCAAACTGCCAGTCAATAGACTTTTTGCCGTATGAGTAAACGTTGCCCATGGTGCACCACGTGGAGGTGAGTCTATCGCACACCCCACTAAGAAATTATAAGAAATGCAAATTTTTTGCGAACACGATATTTTTTCTAATCTAATTTATTTTATTTAATTTTATTTTTCAGATAAAAAAAAGAGAGGAAACCCCGGAAGAATGCATTTGGAAACTTAATATTGAATCGTGGAGGATTCGACCTATTAAACATTCCACTAAACCCATTCAGTTTGGATTTTATACTAAAGATTACCAAAATATTGTTTTATATTTAAAACCTGTCATTAAAGGGCCAATTTCCGAACATCCAATAGATTGTCTCACGGTAAAAGAGCGACTCAAACAATTGGCTTTCAATGAACTTGAAAGCGCTAAAAAGACACTGCAAACGATTCATTTGGTCCGCCAGAAAATTCAGATGGCCGTCGAGGAACAGGCATTGGCTATTTTTAAACTCATTGATGAATTAATTCAAATTCATTTTAAATTAGAAATGCTCAGGTGGGATCGTGAGGGTCTTTCTGTCACTAATGAAAAGGAATTCGAAGGATTTTCCGGTACTCATTATGAAGTACCATGTGATGATAGAACTCGTTCAGCACTGTTCTCCTCGATCGTGGATCATGAAAAGCGTCTAAAACACGGCGAAAAATGGGTTGTTCGAAACATATTTGGTAGAACTTTAAAGGTGTATGTCTGGAATGGGCCATTCAAGAGGGCTTACATGCGGAAGCAAAGTTTTTCCAACATCTTGAGAGGACTTAATTTACTTTCTGAAGAAGAAGGCGACATAGAATGCCAGCTGTATCTTATAAATCGATATCTACCAGGGGGCTTCTCTTCTGAATCACTACCACTACGGAAGAAGACCACTTTTGCACTCCAGGACAGAGCGATTCTGCTGAAACTTCAAGAAATTATATTAAGGCGAAATGACAAATATTTTGTGAGAAACCTGTCATGCCTTGAGGAGATGAAACGGAATTTACCAAGCACGTCGAACTGAGCCTAAGAGAATTCCGAAAAAACCACGAATACGAGAATAATCACTATCAGCTGACACTGGGTTTCACAGGGTAGAGGCTATCCGGAATTTAGGGATCATATTGGCACCCTCAAATCGATATACATATACACATATGTACATATATTTCAATTTTGCTAATAAAATATATATATTTTTTAAAATTCTGATTTAAAATATGTCGGTAAGGGTGGGGCTTAAATTACCCTCCCCACCCCCCTTAAGTTCTTGCGTTTTTATTACGGGACATTTGAATTACGATTTGGCTGTTTATTGAATTGAATATATATATTGATTGAATTTAATTCAAAAATGCATTAGTCTTATCAAATACGATTGGCGTTTAGTTTTCAAGACTTATCGATGGTTGTCGTTTTGCAGGTGCGAAGGTTTACATTTACATTTCGTATTTACGGTTCATTCAAACTTGCCTAATTGCATAAAATCACACATTTGTCTTAACAAAGTATAAGTAATTGGTTAGTGTTACTTCCGTAATTGAAATTTCAGAGCTCATTTATTTGTGTGTGTGCGTATGTGTTAGTGTGTCTTCTTTCTTATTTTGCAAGTCGGCATTGCAATGTCACCTGATATATGTTGTAACAGCCAAAACCACATAGCTACAGTAGGTATTAATGATCTCCGTACAGACTAACTCTTTAAACCATCTGTCACACTGATCAATATTTAACTCGGAAAATGATTTACATAGCACTCTAATTCAACCATGAGGCATTATTTAATCATTCAAGTATGATTCACGATGAGAATTCCCTTATACAGTGAGTTGTTGTAAGGGCGCATTGTGTTATTGTGACAAGTGGATTACGAAAAGTGAATAGATTATAACTGTAATAAATATTTTATCTTTTAGATTCTAATATCGCGCTAGATGTTAGTTTCTTACGTGAGTCTAGCATGCATGAGTTGAATAGAGTTTATACTCTAGCACTGGGGTGTGCGATGGACTTACCTCCACGTGGTGCATCCTGGACAACGTATACTCATTCGGCAAAAAAGTCTATTAACTGGCAGTTGACTTCTGACTTCAAACTACCATGACCCCACTGTATGTCATATTCAAACCTTTCCACATTAATCACCTCACCTTTTCTCTGCCCTTGTGTCTCTCTGACTCTTTCACATCTGTGAATTATTATTCTGTCCCCCCACCCTCTCTCGAATTTTTGTCACTTTGATGTTCCTCCTCCTCTCTGTGAGGCCCGAAGTCAGCTAATGGGCTAATGATAGATATCAAGTCGCCTTCTATTTGAAATAAATAAATACTCTAGCACTAGGTGACTGAGTAATAAATTAACTCCCACTAAAGTGAATAGCAAATACCACTTATTCGCAGCGGCATCAGCCAAAGTCGAATTAGACGGTTGTGTAAACCCCTATGTTCTTGCCATGAAAGAGGAATTGGGTGAAAAGCATATATCTGCGAAATTTCATGACCTATTTGTTGAAACGGAGTAAGCCAACTAATTAGTAGTCAAGGGTTTGGTCCCCTAATGCTCACCCCAAAAGGGAAAGCGGTAGCCTTACATTTTTGC